TAAGCCCCGAAAGCATCTCAAGGTAAAATACCATGTTTGAGTATGTTATGGAATCAGTACTTACAAGCAGAGTTTCTAGAGACCAAGTTCGCATCACATTTACTTTTTAAAGAGAGAGAGAGAGAGAGAGAGAGAGAGAGAGAGAGAGAGAGAGAGAGAGAGAGAGATATATATATATATATATATATATATATATATATATATATATATATATATATATATATTATATATAGCGAGAGAGAGAGAGAGGAGGAGGAGAGCAGGGAAGAGGAGGAGAGGATGGAGGATTGTTTTTGATCCTAGGGTCCGGGTTCGATCCTCGGTGATGGCAGAAACAAAATGGACCGAGTTTCTTTCATCCTGGATGCAGCTGTTACCTAGTAGTAAATAGGCACCTGGGAGTTAGACAACTGTTACAGGCAGCTTCCTGTGTATGTGTGTGTGTGGGGGGGAGGAATTAGTAGTTAGGAACAGTTGATTGATCAACAGCCGACAATCTGGGTTAACTAGTCACACACTTTGTTTCACGACGTCCTCCGTAGGGCGTTACTGGTCAAGCAACATTGATGCAACATTAAAGCGACGTTGATGCAACATTTAAACGACGTTGATGTAACATGAAAGAAATGTTGATATTAAGGTGATTACGTTGATTCTACATTGATTTTGGTTTTCTCTCTCTCTCTCTCTCTCTCTCTCTCTCTCTCTCTCTCTCTCTCTCTCTCTCTCTCTCTCTCTCTCTCTCTCTCTCTCTCTCTCTCTCACAACTAACTGGGGCTTGGCAAGGTTAGGTTAGGGTGTTATGTGTGATGGAAAAGCTATAATAGTGTGTGTAAAAGGCCTCCATCACATGGGAAAGGGTGGTTGTGGTGGTGGGAGGGGCTATGGGAGAGCCAGGCAGGAGGCAGAGACAGAAAGACCCCTCCCGAGACCACACCCACCCCCCTCACCCACCCCCCTCACCACACTACTACCCCCCTCCCGTAACCCCCTCCCTACCAACCCCCCCTCTCTCACCCCCCTCCCACACTATTAAATCAGCTCAACCCTACACCCTGAACCCCCTACTTTCCCTCTGATGGGCCCCGATCATCACCTACGCCCCCCTCCCACCCCTTTCTTCTCTAACCCTTTCTCTCTCTCTCTCTCTCTCTCTCTCTCTCTCTCTCTCTCTCTCTCTCTCTCTCTCTCTCTCTCTCTCTCTCTCTCTCTCTCTCTCTCTCTCTCTCTCTCCCTCTCCCTCTCCCCTCTCCCCCCCTCTCCTCTCCCTCTCCCTCTCCCCTCTCTCTCTCTCTCCTCTCCCTCTCTCTCTCCCTCTCTCCTCTCCTCTCTCTCTCTCTCTCTCTCTCTCTCTCTCTCTCTCTCTCTCTCCTCTCTCTCTCTCTCTCTCTCTCTCTCTCTCTCTCTCTCTCTCTCTCTCTCTCTCTCTCTCTCTCTCTCTTCTAAAGTGCCTTGTCTTATCTCTGCTTCGTATTTTGATTGGTTTTGGCCTCTTTTATGTACGTGATTAATACTCATCCTGTGAGCGGTAGTTTATTGTGCTCCCCATACTCATCCTGTGAGCGGTAGATTATTGTGCACCCCATACTCATGCTGTGAGTGGTAGATTATTGTGCACCCCATACTCATCCTGTGAGTGGTAGATTATTGTGCACCCCATACTCATCCTGTGAGTGGTAGATTATTGTGCACCCCATACTCATGCTGTGAGTGGTAGTTTATTGTGCACCCCATACTCATCCTGTGAGCGGTAGTTTATTGTGCACCCCATACTCATCCTGTGAGCGGTAGTTTATTGTGCTCCCCATACTCATCCTGTGAGCGGTAGATTATTGTGCACCCCATACTCATCCTGTGAGCGGTAGATTATTGTGCACCCCATACTCATCCTGTGAGTGGTAGATTATTGTGCAGTATTAGCCAGTCCTGAGCAGAGATTATTACATTAACATGTCACCTGTACACCTTATTATTATAATGTTAACTTGTTACAAAAAATTGCAATTGCATTTCCATGAATAATGATATATTGAGGTAATAGACGAACTTTTTCTTTAGATAGATAAGCTATCTAAAAGATAGCTTATCATTTAGCTATCACACAGGTGTTTAGCTTTTTATGTGCCACTTATCTACTAGAGAGAATGTATCTACTAGAACGGATACAGTGTTATCAATGGTCATAAGATGGCTGGCCATATCGTGCAACGTGAGTTTAGATTTATATGTAAATTGGTAAAAAATTTTACAGCCTAAGACGAAATTATGTAGTTTATGTAACCTGTCTTTATCCACTCTCTTTTATTTCATCTGGGTCCATGTACCTGGATTGTTTATAGTTGCTTAATGGTGTCGTGGAATGATATTTAGGATTTCCTTAGGTTATCTGAGGGTGTGAGTCTTTATCAGTAGTTGTCTTGGGTTATCATAGGGTGATGGAGTGTCAGTAGGGTTGATGGAGGGCCAGGTAGGGTTGACGGGAATCAAAAAATAATTTAAGCTTATCTGTCTCCAACTATATTAATTCCTTATATGCCCCGAGCTATTTATCTATCATCATCATTTACAAAACGTAGAGATTTACGCTTCTTTAACTCCCTTATTTACATGTCTTGCCGTATCTTGCTTTAAAGGTTTTGTTTATCAACAAAGAGATCCGTTTTCTGTGAAAGCGGCTGCAAGTAAATCTTCAGTTAACTGAGACTTATTTACAGTTAACCATAAGACAAAGCCTCTGGCTCGTCTACCCGTTAATAAGATGGTAAAGCACTGGTTTACTTACCCATTAAACGATTGATGAAAATGAAGATTAAGCCACCCAATAGGTGGCACGGGCATGAATAGCCCGTAAGTGGTGGCCCTTTTGAGCCATTACCAGTATCAAGAGCTGATACTGGAGATCTGTGGAGGTGCGACTGCACCCTACGTGATGGGAGATGTCTCCCCCGCCTTCACTCTACTACCCTCGCCCCCATTAAACACCGCTCTACCTAATAGATATATTTCACCCCCCTTTAAACGTTTACCTAAATAATCACAAGGGATGTGAACTACGGCGCTCTTTCGTCACGGCAAAGTGTGTTGCTTGCATCCCATCAAGCATAAAGCAGCCAGCCAAACAGCGCACTTTGTCACACTTACTTAACTTTCATGGACGTTTAAAGAGGCAAATACTCGTAAAATTATATTAAGAAAACTTCGGTGTTCATTTACAGGAGACACTAATCGGCGGTGTTGTGGTCCGGGGGGGGGGGGAGAGGGGGCGGGGGGGTGTCAGGGAGAAAGCAAAACAAAAAAAAACATCGTTTGTTCTTGATACAAACATCAAAATAAGCTGAGATGTAAGGGATCAGGAGAGATGAGCCCGCGACGCCAGGCTGGCTGTCTTGAGGCGACTGCTGAGATCTGCGGTGGTGACGTCTGTCTGTCTGTCTGTCTGTCTGTCTGTCTGTCTGTCTGTCTGTCTGTCTGTCTGTCTGTCAGTCAGTCAGTCAGTCTGTCTATCTGTCTGTCTGTCTGTCTGTCTGTCTGTCTGTCTGTCTGTCTGTGTCTGTCTGTCTGTCTGTCTGTCTGTCTGTCTGTCAGTCAGTCTGGCGCGCTCTCACTTCGTCTTGTTAACATGGCAGCTATTTTTGTGTCATATCGTCTTGGTGCTTGGCGTTCAGTACTGGAATATGCTAATAAGAGACAGTTAAAGACGATGAGAAAGAGAATTTGTGTATGTCGGTGGAAGGGGGGGTGGGGGGTGGATTGAGTGCTTTAAGTCATTGTAGCTGAACGGCCAGCGTTCGGGATTACCAGTCCACAACCCTGGTTCGAATCCCGGTCGAAGCAGAAACAAATAAGCCAGTTTTTTTTTCACGTGATGCGTCTGTTCACCTAGCAGTAAATAGGTGCCTGTGAGCTAGTCAACTGTTGCTGGCTGCATCCTGGAAATATGTGCATGAAAAAGAGAAGCATATGTAGTATGATCATATGTAGTATGAAACATATGTAGATCTAGAAAAACAGTCAATACATTAGACAACCGACGGTTAAAAAGGCGGGAGACAAGAACTTGAGCCTGCAGAATAAAATAAACACGGAGGATCTTCCATGTGCGAAAAAAAGTTGATTGACAGTTGAGAGGCGGGCCGAAAGAGCCAGAGCTCAACCCCCGCAAGCACAACTAGGTGAGTATATATATTAAGGCTGACCTCAGGGTAGACGGGTGACATCTCCCGTCACGCAGGGATGATACTGGTAATGGCTCAAAAGGGCCAACACTTACGGGCTATTCATGCCCGTGCTACATCTTGGGTGGCTTAATCTTCATCAATCAATCAATCATCAGGGTAGACAGGTCGCAGGAAACATTCTGTGAAGGAGGAATGTTTCCAAATGCTTCTCTGTAACACTTGGGCTGGACGGTAGAGCGACGGTCTCGCTTCATGCAGGTCGGTGTTCAATCCCCCGAGACCGTCCACAAGTGGTTGGGCACCATTCCTTTCCTCCCGTCCCATCCCAAATCCTTATCCTGACCCCCTTCCCAGTGCTATATAGTCGTAATGGCTTGGCGCTTTCCCCCTGATAATTCCCTTCATTTCTCTGTAAATCACCTATGCCAATATTTTCTTCTAAATATATGGTAAATGTCCGCTGAGACCGTAGTTACTTAAGGTTAAGTCATTAGAATCATTTTTTTTAAATACTTTATTTACAGTACTTATATACAACAACATTGCATACAAAATATATATAGGCAGAATGTGACAGGTGGATTTATACATACGGTGCTCAGTGTTCCCTCCCAAAGGATTGAATACTCAACCCTTTGGAGGGTTGAATACCCTCTGTGTGTGTGTGTGTGTGTGTGTGTGTGTGTGTGTGTGTGTGTGTGTGTGTGTGTGTGTGTGTGTGTGTGTGTGTGTGTGTGGGTGTGTGTGGGTGTGTGTGTGTGTGTGTGTGTGTGTGTGGGGGGGTGTGTGTGTGTGTGGGGGGTGTGTGTGTGTGTGGGGGTGTGTGGGTGTGTGTGTGTGGGGGTGTGTGGGTGTGTGTGTGTGTGTGTGAGTGTGTGAGTGTGTGTGTGTGTGGAAGGGGGGGGGGGGTTGCCTGCTCAACCGGTGAGTAATCGACTTGTAAGTGAGTCAGTGAGAACGTTGAGTGAACTGTAGTCAGTAGTTAAGGTGTCTTGCGAGCCTCTCAAGACAACATTCAATACGTCCTGCAGGTTGCATTATTTTACAGCATCTTAAAAGAGTGAGGGGGGGGGGGGGGATTATGAGGGGGAAAAGCGCCAAGCCATTACGACTATAAAGCACTGGGAAGGGGTCAGGATAAGGATTTGGGATGGGACGGAGGGGGAAAGGGACTGGTGCCCAAACCACTTGTGGACGGTCTCGGGGGATTGAACGCCGACCTGCATGAAGCGAGACCGTCGCTCTACCGTCCAGCCCAAGTGGTTGGACATCTTAAAGAGTGAGCTTCACTAAGTGTTCATCATCAGGGGAATTATCATGCTACGAACCGGATGGATATAATCCGGAAGTTTGCACTCTGCAAACACAAATAACCTAATGGTCCCTATAATTCCCCCTTATTGTAACTAGTAATAACGTTTTTATAACGTATTAGAACGTTGTTACAAGTTGCTTAATTGGTTGTTACAATTATTATACGCGTTAAACCTCGCTGGAACGTCGTAGCGACGTTGTAGCGACGTCGTGTGTCATTCTCTGAAGCATTCTTAGGAGGGATGTTGGTAAACTGCCTTGTTAACTGTCCCGCGAAGTCTGTACCGCGTTAAGTCTTTGGGGGGGGGGGGCATAAGATATGAAAGGATACAGTGGCTTCGGGTATTTCAACCTTTGAACAGCAACGGGACACACAGCTATGGTCCAGCAAGTATGGAAGTAGTCAGACTTTGAAATATAAGGACATTACAGAAGTAGGGGTTGGGATAGTAGCTCTTATGTGGAAGGGCACTCTGGTCGTCACTACGTAGATAACATTCACTCGTGTCTTAACATTCACAGTTGGAACAGTTATGCAGCCACTAACATTCACAGTCGAAACAGTCATTCCGCCACTAACAATCACAGTCGAAACAGTCATTCCGCCACTAACATTCACAGTCGAAACCCCTATATCACCCACACGTGAATAACAAGACACAGACGACGGAGATAATCCATCTCCTGACATTGCTGGAGAACTCCTCTCTGACGAAGGGACGCAGGAGTAAGGTTCCTTCCTCCTCCAGAAGTTGTACTGAGAGGACGTCGTCCCTACAGGCGTCCACCGGCCGAGTGGAGGGCGCTGGACCAGAGTTGGACTTCCAGGTCCAGTTCTGGAACTGGACCTGGAAGTTCTGGTCTCCCTTTGGGTAGGTTAAACTCTTGCTAATGTACACGCTAATATTACCTGTGGAATGAACGATAAAAATGAGCAGGCGAGGAGTCACAATAACGTGGCTGAAGAATGTTGGCCAGACCACACACTAGATGATGAAGGGACGACGACGACGACGTTTCGGTCCGTCCTGGACCATTCTCAAATCGATTGAGAATGGTCCAGGACGGACTGACACGTCGTCGTCCCTTCACCTTCTAGTGTGTGGTCTGGTCAACGACAAAAATAATATTAACATTGCTCTAAACAGTTATCAAATTTCAACGCTAAAAATAATCACTAATCTCACGCCAGAAGAAAAATATAGTTTAACATTGTTTATCTATATTTGCTTCCAAAGTTACAGAGCCGTCAAGATGGCGTTCCAAATGCAGTACGGAGTTCTATAGAGGACATTAATCATGTTTAGAGATACGTAGATCAAAACTCCTGCTGTAGAGCGACGTTTATCATCGTTTATCGCCACTCACGCCCCTCAGTAACTCACATTCCTGCGTTAATGTGTGTGTTCACGTCTTCTGAGTGCAGGTGGGCAAGGGCCCACTAACCCACCACTGAGTTACGACACGATCTAACTGGCGGGACTCAGGTGAGGTGAGATATGCGCGCCAACCCGTCTCGTAAATCCCAGCATACAGCAGTATGTTCATTCCGGGGGAAAATATTGGCGATTTACCTCTCAAGGTGTGCGCCTGACGGGTCTCTCTCTCTGGCCCTCACCTGCACATGGTCTCTGGCCTCACCTGCATGGTCTCTGGCCTCACCTGCATGGTCTCTGGCCCTCACCTGCACATGGTCTCTGGCTTCACCTGCACATGGTCTCTGGCCTCACCTGCATGGTCTCTGGCGCCACCTGCACATGGTCTCTGGCTTCACCTGCACATGGTCTCTGGCGCCACCTGCACATGGTCTCTGGCTTCACCTGCATGGTCTCTGGCCCTCACTTGCACATGGTCTCTGGCTTCACCTGCACATGGTCTCTGGCTTCACCTGCACATGGTCTCTGGCGCCACCTGCATGGTCTCTGGCTTCACCTGCACATGGTCTCTGGCGCCACCTGCATGGTCTCTGGCGCCACCTGCATGGTCTCTGGCCCCCACCTGCATGGTCTCTGGCTCCACATGCATGGTCTCTGGCGCCACCTGCATGGTCTCTGGCGCCACCTGCATGGTCTCTGGCGCCACCTGCATGGTCTCTGGCCCCCACCTGCATGGTCTCTGGCGCCACCTGCATGGTCTCTGACGCCACCTGCATGGTCTCTGGCCCTCACCTGCACATGGTCTCTGGCTTCACCTGCACATGGTCTCTGGCGCCACCTGCATGGTCTCTGGCTTCACCTGTATGATCTCTGGCCCTCACCTGCACATGGTCTCTGGCTTCACCTGCACATGGTCTCTGGCGCCACCTGCATGGTCTCTGGCCCCCACCTGCATGGTCTCTGGCGCCACCTGCATGGTCTCTGGCCCCCACCTGCATGGTCTCTGGCGCCACCTGCATGGTCTCTGGCCCCCACCTGCATGGTCTCTGGCTCCACATGCATGGTCTCTGGCTCCACATGCATGGTCTCTGGCTCCACCTGCATGGGACTCAGGCAAATAATATTTCCCGATTACCTCTCAGTGAACATCACTTTCGCTTCTGTGAGTCACTCAGTGAGCCTTCTATAATCTTTGCCTTCTATAATCCAATCAGCAAGCAATGCCTTTTAATCAGCAGGCCACTCAGTGAGTTCGACACTTTTATGAATTACTCAACCAGTACTGCTCTCTCTTTCATGGGTCACTCAGCAAGCATTATCCTCTTAACTTACTCAGCAAGCATTACCCATTTTCCTATCGCCCACTTAATATGCAATGGTCCCATTCCATTTCACATTGTACCCCACAAATGTCAATTCTGTCTTATGGCCCACACTGAGCCACAGGGAAGACGGTCCCGACCACGCAGGTGGGCCATGAGGACATTTTTCCATGCAGGTGGGCCATGGACATTACCCCTGCAGGTGGGCCAAGGACACCTCCCCTGCAGGTGGGCCAAGGACATCACCCCTGCAGGTGGGCCATGGACATCACCCCTGCAGGTGGGCCAAGGACACCTTCCCTGCAGGTGGGCCATGGACACTTCCCCTGCAGGTGGGCCATGGACATCACCCCTGCAGGTGGGCCAAGGACATCACCCATGCAGGTGGGCCATGGACATCTCCCCTGCAGGTGGGCCAAGGACATCACCCCTGCAGGTGGGCCATGGACATCACCCCTGCAGGTGGGCCAGTAGGCAGCATTGTGTCTGGTGGGCCAATGCAGTGACACTATCGCCTCTCCGTCATGAGGCGAGTGGCGTAAATTTAGTGTTGCGATGCGGCCACCCAGGGCGAGACTTTGAATAGCTTGGCAGGAAGCGTTGTGGAGGCGGCACCCGCCGTGGAGAACTGATGAGTCCATTAAATCCTTTCCCCTGTGATAATAATCAATGTTTAACCCAAGACGAAGAGGAAAGACTAAATGAGACGTTGGGATCAGCTGGTCCAATGTTTGGATCCACTCTACCACACACACAAGATGTTGGCATCAACCCACCTAATGTTCTGATCCACTCCACCACACAAGAAGTTATCATCAACCCACCTAATGTTCTGATCCACTCCACCACACAAGAAGTTATCATCAACCCACCTAATGTTCTGATCCACTCCACCACACAAGAAGTTATCATCAACCCACCTAATGTTCTGATCCACTCCACCACACAAGAAGTTGTCATCAACCCACCTAATGTTCTGATCCACTCTACCACACACGAAGTTATCATCAACCCACCTAATGTTCTGATCCACTCTACCACACACGAAGTTATCATCAACCCACCTAATGTTCTGATCCACTCCACCACACACGAAGTTGGCATCAACCCACCTAATGTACAACTGTCATCCACCGAACAACAGCGGAGATGAGGACGTACAGAGCCGTGGTGACCCAGGCGACGGCATGGCCACCTCCAGGACCCGACGCAGAGTTCAGTCTCGCCTTGGAGACGGAAGTGGTATCCACCTGGTTCGTCTCCTCCTCCTCTCTCTGCAGCTCCTCTTCATCGAACTGGTGGAAGCAGAGTCGCGCCATGTTCTTCTTGATGCCGGCACAGTCGAAGGTCTCTGTACCGTCGCATACACACGTCTCCAGCTTGGCAGCCGCCTTCTGCCGCTGCAGGATGGAGATGCTGTTGTTACATCTCAGGCTGCACCTGTTCAGGAGAACACACGCAGTAAGTTGCAGGCCGCCTTTGTATTAGCTAGAATTTATACCACTTGTGTGTTTTTATGTTGCCTCTATGCGCGAGTCCCATAAACAGTCCCGGGGTATCTACAGCTCTCATTCCCTCAGACAACCACAACCCAACACTTGTGCAGCTGAGAACACCTGCTACGACACCCCCTCCCCCAACCCCAACCCCCTAGAATTGGTGTTTAACAGTTAAGGGCTTTGTACAGGGTGAAGAAACGGGAAGAGCCGCGTCAGTCTGCCCTCTGTCTCTCTCTCTCTCTCTCTCTCTCTCTCTCTCTCTCTCTCTCTCTCTCTCTCTCTCTCTCTCTCTCTCTCTCTCTCTCTCTCTCTCTCTCTCTCTCTCTCTCGTGTAAAGTCTAGAGTCTGGACTCTAGACTAGAGGGTGATAGGTCTTAAGCCCAACACTTGTTTCTATCGCAACCTCAACACCAGTTCCGTCTCCACTTTGTTAATGGGAAGATAATCCTCATAACGACAGAGGGACCTTTGACATGCCGCCGGCTTCCTGTCCCCCCCCCCAAGGGCCACTGGAGAGATAGTGGCCCCCTCAGGTAATTTCAGGTAAGTATGCTGCACTAAGTAGGTTGACTTAAGCTTAGGTAAATATACTTAATATGACGGACGGAATGTTTCAAGTAAGTGGGACCCACTTTGCTTCGCCCACTCCACCCACCCACTCCTGGTTGATGGGGTTCTGGGGGTTCTTCTACTCCCCAAGCCTGGCCCACCCGCCCATTCCACCCACCCACTCACCCTTTCCCAACGAACATCCTTCGGCAGAAGCGATCGTAGTAGCTGATGGCGGTGGAGCAGAGAGTGTCCGCCGAGCAGATCCAGTGGGCGACGCTGCAGGATACGACAGTGGCGTCAGCGTTGGCCGCCATGACCTCCGTCCTACACACCTCCACCCGACCCTTGGTCTCCCGGCAGTAATCGTCACTACACCAGCACTGTGGAGGTGGAGACATGGGTGACGGGTGGACAGGGAAGAGAAGAACCAAGTTCATTCCTAGAGGTAGTTATTGCCAAGGCAAATAGTTTGGTGGAGGATGATGGATGAATTGATGGTGTAGGGGAGGATGAGTGAATGGGATGATGGTGATGAGGGTGGGTTGGCGGGGGGGGGGGGGGTTGTTACACAGACTCAATCAGATCTAAAAAAAACTGGACATTACACATAAAGATCCTAGCAGTAAAACCAGACTATCTGTTCAGCGAGCTTAAGAAAGCAATATAACACCTGCCAGAATAACTAAAAACACCTGCCAGGATAACTAAAACACCTGCCAGGATAACTAAAAACACCTGCCAGGATAACTAAACACACCCGCCAGGATAACTAAAAACACCTGCCAGGATAACTAGAGTGTTATAACAGCCGTCACAACACCGAACGCCATCTCAGGTCTCCTACTCTTCCAATTACTGGTGCTATCCTGCCTGAAGAAATACAGAGGAACATAGTGAACACATTGTCACAATGAGGCATTAATAGGACTTGGGCCGCTACGAGGCCCTCACATACACACTCTGAAACGGAGATATCGCAATATATATGTTACAGGAAGATGCTTGAACTCTTGCCTGTGATTGCTTCATAGTTCAGCTGAAACTCTCAGCAAACCTTGTTTAATCATTTACAATGATTCATTGGAAAAAAGGGGGGAACTACCAGACAGTTAGAAGACTGCTAATGAGGTTTACACCAAGCATGACAAATACACTGGGAGTTAACCTGACCCGCCCTGGACCACAGGAGATGTAGGGAGGGTGCTCTGCCCTCTTAGTGGGTGCCATGTTCCCCTTGTAGTAGGTATAGCCCCAATGACACCCACTTGACCCTACATCCACGCTACACACACACACACTATCCTACACCCGCACCTGTACCTTACACCCACACCCACTCTACCTTACACTGACAACTAAAGAGTGTACGTGGCTGAGTAGCCTAACAAGTACCAGCACCGGGCCCAAGAGCTAAAGACCCTCTCCAGGTAAGGCCCAGGTAAATCACAACACTACTTACATCCATAAGGTCGTGTCCTTCCTCTGTAGAGGTGAGAGCGATGAGTGAGTTCCTGCAGTACTCATCACAGTGAGCGATGCGGCCACTCATCAAGTCTGCGCAGCCTAACATATAGTTCTGCAGGGCCATGCCGCAGCCTCGCCGCAGGGCGCAGCGGATCCGGGCCTCCTCGCACAGAACCCCGGACGACGCCGGGGTGGTGGTGTTGGCGGGCGTGGTGCTGGTGTTGGAGACGCTGGTGTTGGAGAACAACAGCTCGTCACTCGTGTTGGAGGAGAAGGACGGGTGGTCGTAGGTTTCGTTGTCGTAGTAATCCCAGTCGTAGTTGTCCTGGCCGCCCACGCCGCCCACGGCCACCATAGCCCACACCAGCACCACCAGGGTCGCCGCCGCCCGCCCCACCACACCCATGCCACTCCTGAAGGAGGAACACCAACACTCTCAGTGCCTCTAAATTATCAATGATAACAGAGAGACAAGTAGCTATTGGAAGATATCAAAGTATTAATATATATAATGACAATATTGCAGACCATTGCACTCTACAATGTGCATGTGGAGAGTGTTACACCGCCTACACCCAGAGGAAGGTATACCAGTGTACATCTCACAATTTGCATCAGTCATAGAGTACTCAACATTAGGCTTCCTGTTCGCGAATTCATCTAAGGTTGTTAGATATGATTTAAGACGAGGCTGGACTACTTTGCCTGATCGTTAGGGGAAACTTGCCTCCCTCGCTTCTTGCTGTGTATACCCATACTGCAAGTATACCCGTATTGCAAGTATACCCACACTACAAGGTTATAACCCAGATAACAAAATGACCCAAACACAGGTGAATGATCCAAACACAGGTGAATGACCCAAACACAGGTGAATGACCCAAACACAGGTGAATGACCCAAACACAGGTGAATGACCCAAACACAGGTGAATGACCCAAACACAGGTGAATGACCCAAACACAAGCGCATGTCTCAAATTAGTACACACCAAAAAAAAAGTCTTACTATCACCACTGACCCAAAGTTCTTTATTCCCCACTTAGTATACACGGATTTTATTTCTGTCCTTTACAGGGCCAAGGTCAAGAGGTCACGTCTGCCGTGGCCAGACACCCTTGACCCCACAAACCGAACTTCGATAAACGAGGCGATTGTATAACCGGCGATAACTAAGGCCGCAACGAGTCTTATGGCTTGGGCAATGTCTGCCGGCAAGTCTTAAGGCTTGGGCAATGTCTGCCGGCAAGTCTTATAGCTTGGGCAATGTCTGCCGGCAAGTCTTATAGCTTGGGCAATGTCTGCCGGCAAGTCTTATAGCTTGGGCAATGTCTGCCATTGAGGGCACATGACAGGAGAGAAGAGGGTCAAAATCGTCATTTGTTTTCCTTTTAAATGTCAAAATGAAGGATGATCTTCTGATAATTTGAGACATATTATAGCATTTCACATTTGCTGACAATCTGTAGTAAATAACTTGCTGACCCATATATGTAGTGTGGATTGTGATCCAAACTAACTTCAAAGGTGGTTAAATTCTAACGAGGTCTTTGGGTACTTCGGGTCATGGCCGCTAGGAGCGCTGCTAAACGAAGGGAAGGGTAATATCAGGAGAAACCTCCGAGTCATTACGACTATATAGGACTTGGAAAGGGGGTCAGGATAAGGATTTGGGATAGGACGGAGGGGAAAGGAATGGTGTCCAAGCACATGGACGGTCGGGGATTGAACGCCGACCTGCATGAAGCGAGACGGTGAATGGAGAAACCACGACGTTTTGGTCCGTCCTGGACCATTAATAAGTCGTCTTGTTTTTGTTAATGGTCCAAGAGGGACCGAAACGTCGTCGTCTCTTCCATCTTCTAGTGTGTACTTACCTAATTTACTTACCTAATTGTGCTTGCAGGGGTTGAGCTCTGGCTCTTTGGTCCCGCCTCTCAACCGTCAGTTGGGTTGGGTCATCATGGTCTCCCTGGCTTGGTACCTTCTTTAGATGCTACATACACACTAACTACCCAGTAATCCACTTGGCTGCTACTTAAGATACCTACTATCTTAAGGGTAGGTAGGATACCTACCTACTAGGCTGTTACTTAAGATACTTTAATATTTAATAAAATTGAATTTAATAAAAAAAATGTTACAGACTTCATTGTATGGGCCAATAGGAGCTGCCTCGTATGGGCCAATAGGAGCTGCCTCGTATGGGCCAATAGGAGCTGCCTCGTATGGACCAATATGAGCTGCCTCGTATGGACCAATAGGAACAGCCTCGTATGGACCAATAGGAGCAGCCTCGTATGGGCCAATAGGAGCAGCCTCGTATGGACCAATAGGAGCTGCCTCGTATGGACCAATAGGAGCAGCCTCGTATGGACCAATAGGAGCTGCCTCGTATGGACCAATAGGAGCTGCCTCGTATGGACCAATAGCAGCTGCCTCGTATGGACCAATAGCAGCTGCCTCGTATGGACCAATAGGAGCTGCCTCGTATGGACCAATAGCAGTATAACGATTGTAGCAGTGGTGACGTAGCAAAGGGTGAACCTATGGAACAGCCTAACAAGTGATATATAAGCATATACCAGTGTTCATATTTTAAAAAATATATTAGACAAGTAGTTGGCTTTATTTACATATTTTTAAATGGCTTTATTTACACCGCAATAAGCTCCCGGTAAGCTAACAGCCTGGTTTGGCTCTAATAGCCTGATGCTGCTTGAAATCCTATATATATATATGAACCTTTGCAATAAGGTTTATACGGCATCGTATCCTACCGACGTGGCTGTGTACAGGCGATCAGACACCAAAGGTCTGCAATAGTCTCTTCGTGTCTAATTGTAATCCTGATGTATGAGGATTGCCTGCTATCGTTTTGGTGGTGCATTGTTGATGGAGGCGTCATATAGTGGTTCAGGTCGTGTCGTGCTTAAGGTAGAGCTTCTTGTCCCCCGCACCATCACTTCCACCTGCTGCAGCAGGTGCAGCAGCAGCAGGTGCAGGAGGAGAATGAGCAGCAGCAGCAGCAGGTGCAGGAGAGAGTGGGCAAAGATGTGTACATTGAGGCTGTACGCCCAGAGATACGAGCTCAGTGATATATGTCTTGCTCTAGACAACACACCTTCAAAAGGTCATATAGATATAATACACGACTTGAACGGCAATTGTTTGCCAACTCCTCCTCCCTGGTGATCGTGGCCTCCGGTGACTGTGGAGAGTGGTAGCAGGCAGCCATTGGAGCAGCAGTCGCCCAACCAGTTCAACAGAGGTGCCACTCCCTCGCCTCCTGTCAGGACACAACCAATGTGTCAAGATTGTCACAAGACGAACTTAAAGCCACACCTCAGATGAGGCCTCACTCCTCATCCCGCTCTCTCAACTAATAGATCGAGTTATTTTTACATTCGTGATCAACATTACAAATATAATGTTTAGAAAACGGCTTATAGATGTATATATACGTGTGTAAATCACGAAAAATAAACACGTGATTAAAAATGTGAGTGTCAGACCACGGAGGAAAATTGAAACAGGAATTTCCTTAAGTACTTTCGTATATTAATACATCATCAGAAGGAGTGAAGATGGTCTGACACTGTCATATATATATATATATAATTTTGTCCCCATTGCCTCAGAGACACTTGGTGCCTGGGGTAAAAGTGCTGCTAGCTTTTTAAAGGAGTTGGGGTCTAAGCTAATCGAAACAACTAGAGACCCTAGAGCTGCCAGTTTTCTTTTTCAGCGCCTTAGTGTGGCAATCCAGAGAGGAAATGCTCACTGCATCCATGGTTCCTGCCCGCCATCTGAGGAGCTGGAGGAGCTATTCAACTTGTGACAAGCAGCCTTGTACCCTGCATGTAATCAATATTGTAACTTTTTTGTGTAATGACATTTTCAAATAAAGTTAGATAAATATACAAACTTAACAAAAGAATAGGGGTGGTAGGAGAAGAAAATATCAAAGTGTTCAGTGAGGATCCACAAGGTCTTCTCTGAGTACTCTTTATTTTCTTCTCCGAGGCTATGGGTCCCTACATTTGCACCAGAGGTGGTACCCCTTCTAGGTATATATATATATATATATATATATATATATATATATATATATATATATATATATATATATATATATATATATGCTGCTCCTGCTGCTGCTGCTATATATATATATATATATATATATATATATATATATATATATATATATATATATATATATATATATATATATATATATATATATACACGTTTTCCATGCATTGGACTCCAAATGTTAGGTTTGGTTAGTCAACAAGAGAGAGAGAGAGAGAGAGAGAGAGAGAGAGAGAGAGAGAGAGAGAGAGAGAGAGAGAGAGAGAGAGAGAGAGAGAGAGAGAGAGAGAGAGACCCAGCAGAGGCCTACCTAGAGCCAGGTAGGTTGTCCCGTAGGATCCAGGAACTTTATTACCTGTGTTTAGGCCTATCTTTTATCACGTCTCCTTGTTCCCCCGTCCACCCATTGTCTCTGTCTACTTCCTGTTTTTCCGCTTGCCTGCTTGCCTCTCCCTGTCCTGCTTATCTGTCTCTACCTGCCTGGTCTTCTGTCTGGTTGTATTCAGCCCGTCCGCTTTTCTGTCTGACTAAATACCTGTCCTGTCAACGTGTCTCTATGCCTAAAACTTTGGGTTAATCTATCGGCCCCGCATACATGTATTGTTTGGCTGCATACCTAGTTTACCAACCACCCAATTACCACACCCACCTGCTAACTACCCACCTACTAACTACCCGCGTCAGTCTCCCTATCCATTTAGGCTACGAAAGTTAGCACTAATTCTCTGCTATTGGATTTATCTATTAGACATCGGAAAGTTTGATAAGACTCGTTCCCCTCCCTTTTTCTTTCTATTGCTTATCTACTTTTGTGTCCCCCATTTATCTATGCACTTTTCATCTGTTTACTTATCTACTAACATACTACTTGCCTAACAACTTCTTAAAGCGGCTTGCCTGTCTACTCTACTTGTTCGTATATCTCACCACGTCCCGTCTGTCATGTCTACTTAACTACTATCTACCCACATGGTACACAGCTACTTAACTGCCACCTTCCCCTCCTTCCTTACAACACCCACCCTCTTGTCTATCTTCCATATATCTTCCCACTCGCCAATCTTCCATACTCCCCCCACACCCCCCCCCCCACTCCCACACCCCACCATTACCCGTCAAAATTTTGGAAATGAGGCAAAGCAAGCCTCACGAAGCCTCACGAAGTCTCGCGAAGCCTCACATTGACGGCGACCAAACAAAAAATGAGCGACTTTATGGGGGTCCTTAAAAAAAATGAGAGTGACGGTGCAGGGAGCTGATGGCAGACACTTGGCGCCATCCATCACATAATTTGGTGTCCTGGTTTTTGTTCCCG